ATTAATAACTGTAGCCGGCTGGATCCGATCGTTCCCGGAGGGCTGAACTGTAAGAAAGGGGTTGAGGGAGCTCTATCTTGCAGGGGCATCACAACTTGAAGGTGGGGGGGCGAATGTCTCAAAGAGGGTAGGGGTGGAGTTGGGGGTTGCCCTATTCTGGGGCATGGGCTGTTGCATGGGTCAACATCAGTCCCAGCGGAGGCAGAAACGGGCAAGGAGTTGGGGGGCATGCTTTAGGTGGGAACCGCGTGGTCCTGGGGAAAGTGGGGAAGAGGGTTGGTCCTATATTGGGGCCGAGGGAGAGCGGGAGACTCGCCTCAGCGGAGGCAGTGTAGGGCTGAGGGGGGAGGAGTAGGGGGAGCGAGGGGCAGCCTCTCTCGAAGAATTCTGACATCCAGTTTAGTATTTCTTTCCATTTGGTTCGCCTCTCGAGGAGGTTGTAGAGCCCTTTCGGAGACCTGGCAAGTCAACTTTGATCCTGCGTAGGGTGGTTGAAAATTCGGCGGCCCTAGAAGACCGACGCTGGAACAACACTGGCCGGAGCCGGAGCTGGAGCCGGAGCCCGGTGGCGCAACTCTGTAACCTTAGGCTAGCTTAGTGGGGGCGTGAGGCCTGGTAGAGATATGGGGGGCTGTTTGCGGGGCCAGTCTCAGTGGTCATCGGGGGTCGTAACTGAAGCAACGCTGGCCGGTGCTGGAGCAAGGTGGTGCAACTCTGTAACCTAGCCACATGGGGGCATGAGGCCTGAAAGAGCTTCGGTTCGTGCTGAAAACAGCGATGCTGGTGGCGGTCGAAGGTGGACTGAATAGGTTTCACGTATTCTGATTCGTGGTTGGGAGGCTTTTTGACACACATTTTCTGAAAAAAAAAAAAAAAAAAAAGAAGTACATCTAAGGGAAAAAAAAGATGTCGGGAACATGAATCTTCTTTGCATTGTTCAAGAAGGGATGTACATCCTTAATTTCACTGAGTTTCCTTGCTACATGCCCAATTTGTCTGAGCAAATCTACATCAGCACAGATGCAGTTAAGCGAACAACTTCAGGCAAAATATTTTTTATTATGCAAGATCATCATATTGGTTTTCATTTTAGCCATACAGCCCTGATGCTCTTGACATCCAGGGGCTAGGTCCCACTTGCACGAATTAAAAGACACCGACCGTAGATAGCAAAGATCAACGGCCGAGATCTCCTAATTTGCGCTAGTGGGACCTTGCCCCAGGTCTGCCACTGAATCGGGTTGTACGTTCTCCGTCATCTAATTTTTATCACACCTTTCATCTAATTCACAAAAGGGTATACACAACGTTAAGTGGGGTACTAGCAATTGTGTTAAAAAGTAATGGATACTAACAATTAAGTTAAAAAGTAAGTTCAAAATCAACCCATGCGTAAATATACGTTTGAACAATTCCAAACTTCTTTTCATTTAGAAAAATAAAATAAAATAAAAAATGTATGTTTGAACTCGTGCATTCATATCATGGTTACGGACCCGAACACTGACCAGAGAGTACCCGAAACTGGGCGCACGTCCGGAACTCCGGACATGATCCGGACCTTCCGGACGTTGCGGACGCGGACGGTCCAGAAAAAAAAAAAAAAAAAAAACACCTGCTGTCATCGGTGTGACTTTTGTCTCCTCTGCATCTCCTGCGTCATCCACAACTCCTCCCTCCTCCATGACTCCTCTCTCTCTCTCTCTCTCTCTCTCTCTCTCTCTCTCTCTCTCTCTCTCTCTCTCTCTCTGATGGCGACGCTGGCTCGATGAAGGCAACCAGCTGCACACAGAAGGAGCAGCCACGGCGATGGCGATGGGGGAAGCGCTGCAACAACGACGTCAACAGCTCATCGCATTCCAGCGGGGTGAATGGCGGGCGGGGGCAGATTCGATTCGAACAGACCTCGTTTCCCACCAAAAACGAGGCCACACCACGACTGCACAGTCCACAGTGAACAAAAAAAAAAAAAAAATCTACAGCCTAAGAAGTGCACGTCCGGCCGTGTCCGCAGAGGGCCAATGGATCAAAAAATTACCAGAGACAACTTTCTGGGGTCGGCCTCGACCCAACGAAGGGTCCAGGCCGACCCGTTTTCTAAAAACAAATCCTTCAATTTGGCACCTTCCGGACCCTCCAGACCGTACGTCCGCGCGGACATGGTACTGCGGACTCTCTGGAACTCCGTCCGGACGTCCGGAACATAACCATGATTCATATCCCTCTTAGGATTTGTTTATCCTTTCGTCCATTCATCATTGCCGTACCACAATGGGAAAAAACAAATGTAGAAGGTATAGCTAACAACTCGATAAGGGACAATACACCACCTCATTTGCTGACACCCCAACATCAAGTTAAAATAGCTTCTGTTTTTTAAACTCCTTTTTCTTTTTTTTTTTCTTTTTTTTTCTCCCTGTATAAATCCCTTCTTTTCCAAGGGGCCTGAAGCAGCAGTCCAATCTTCTTTGGTTTCATTGTGGCTTTGGTTCACTTCAGTCCTTGAATTTTTCAAGTTCTGCCTTTCTCGATTGTGAAATTTTCCTTCTTTAATAGCAGTTCAATTTCATCTTTTTCAATTTTTGTAAAGGCACGAAGCAAGCAGATGAGTCTCCATACTTTCATTTTGCGCCTTCATAAATTACTCGTATAAGTTTGTCGGTTTCCAAAGTGCTATACGGGAAATGCACGGACAAACGAGAGAGAGAGAGAGAGAGAGAGAGAGAGAGAGAGAGAGAGAGAGAGAGAGAGAGAGAGAGAGAGAGAGAGAGAGAGAGGAGCGACGAGTCTGCCGCTGGCCTCCACGCAGCTCGCTGCCTCTCTCTCTCTCTCCGGCAGACTCGTCGCTCCTCTCTCTCTCTCTCTCTCTCTCTCTCTCTCTCTCTCTGGCAGACTCGTCGCTCCTCTCTCTCTCTCTCATAATAATAACCGTTTGGTTTTTTCTTGCTTTTTTCTTTGGCTTTCTTATTTCTTTTTGCTTTTGGTTACTAAAAAAATATATTTTTTTCTCTCTTTTTAAGTCTTTTTTCATTTTGTTTTACCAGTATGTCCGGGAACTTAACACCCGGTAGTCCGAGACTCGGCACGGATCCGCCTCCCGGTCGGCCGAAGCTCGGACTCGATAGCTGGGCCAAGCACTGGTCGTTTAAAGAACTTTAGACAGGCTCGCTAGGAGGGGGTGTTCATATCACCCCTCCTAGCGTGGCAGTGTGGTTAAAAAAAAAAAAAAATTGACCAGGCATTATCGGCATCCCCTTCTACTTGTCCATACCAACACTATAGCAATCTCATACCCCCCCCCAACTGGCCCAATCCTACTCTATACCGCTGTCCCCAGTACTATGAGGATCCTCCATGTTTACGTACTGCCTGGATCCCGACCAGCCAGCCAGGTGTTCCCGGTCCGAAAGGGCTCTGCTTTCTACGGGTGCACCTGCTGGTCATTGGGCAGACTCAAATTCCCACCTTCAATGCGATACCCACCCTCCCTTACGGTATCCTAAGGTGGAGTCCATGGGCTTAGTGAACCAACTACGCCCCCCCCCAAGTGATGAGCAACCCCTTGATGCACAAGGTTTTTTTTTTTTTTTTTTTTTTTTTTTTTTTAAATTCAGTAAATGGAGGCTACGCTGTAGCAATTGCAGGTCATAACCGTCATATAGCTTTTCTTCCCAAGAGTCTTCGAAAAAGCCGAAAAGTTTTTCATAGTCAATTGAGAATGTTCTCAATTGACTCGTAACATATGATTGTGAGCCCATCCCTCGAGAATCGTACGTGCCTTCCGTCCTTCCTTCTACAAGGTCGCTGTAGCGGCTGTACCCAACATCCTACAACACACACACCCCTGTCGGCCGCAGCTTACTCAAGCTGGGTGTAGCAGGCCTGGACCTGTCGAGCCTATACCCCACAGATAGTATGGACAGCTGTACCTGCACCCTTCATGGCGGGAAACTCCATATAGTACCCAGACGCTACCAAGAGCACCCTTCATGGCGGGAAACTCCATATAGTACCCAGACCCTACCAAGAGCACCCTTCCTGGAGGAGTCCATACGTGAGGGTTTATCTCCTTGCAGCTCCAGACCTCTACATAGGGGATTCAGTTCAGTCCGGTTATTTGCACTCGTTCCAACTAATATCGGACTGGCGCCAGTCATACAAGGTATTAGTCCATATACCTTCGTATAGAGCCCATAGTTCTGGCGTATCTTCAGACAGACCCAATGGTTTCACATACTCTGCAATCAACTCAATCGGTACCTAGCTGTGCACCTCAGACCACTACTCTTAAAACCCCTTCCCCTCCTTCCCACTCCTCCACCCCGCCGACAACCGGGAGCAACTGTGATTGCCAGAACACCCCATGCACCAAGTACCCAGATATCCCTCCCACAAGCCTACCCCCAGAGTACAGCAACCACGGACGAGGTCCTGGACCCCTTATGGTAGAAATAGGCAGTATCAGTAGTCCTTACGGTGTTCCAGACCGAAGGGGCGTGTGTGAATGGCCGTGCGTCGATTTGACGCTGACCGGTGGCATATGCGTGAAAGTGCGGTTTCAAAGATTTGAACCCACACCCTCAATCCACAACGCGCATTTCCAACCGGTCCTCTACCCACTAAGCTGTCAGCCATCCACCTGAGCAAATACTTGGAATGATAATCAATTGCAATCTATGAAACAAAATTACGGATGTGGCTCGACGAAGTAGTAGATGTGAACATGGTATAAAACAATTGGCTGTAGTTTAGCCAATCAATCTGAGTGGCATACGAGTGGAAGGGCTGCGTTCCACAACAGTGGTGGTTTGACGAGGAGGTGATGACGCTGTTGATATCGCCATGACAGGAAAGCTCATGTAATCATCTTCTTCTTAATATATTACGCTTATAAAACCACCATCGCTAGCGAAGCATGACATTGATGAATGTTCCTTAATCTATTGCTGATCCATATCAGCATTGCAATCATAGCATGAAGCATGACAGCTGGAAAAAAGGGTGTCTTGGCGTAAAGTGCATCGATGAACTCGTCATACTCCATTGCTGATGGACAGGACATTGACGAATAATCCCAGCATTGCAATCCAAGCATGAAACACATCAACTCGGAACAACAGTCCATCCGTGCATACGTACGACATTGACGACCGTTCCATAATCCATGAAGACTCTCGAAGTAAGTAATCAACCACGCGTCCGTACAAAAACAACAAATCTGTCCGTGTGTGTGTGTGTGTGTGTGTGGGTGTGTGTGTGTGTGTGTGTGTGTGTGTGTGTGTGTGTGTGTGTGTGTGTGTGTGTGTGTGTGCGTGCCGTGTGCATGTGGTCCCCAGTGTTTACTAAACTCTCTCTCCCATCTATATTCCCTGAAGACAATACTGAAGACAAAACCACAGACTGAAGATGACCAAGTGCAAATCATCCTGACTAATCTCGCACTTACTAAACTCTCTCTCCC